ATAAATAATATTTAGTTAAATAATATAAGTTAAATAATATAAGTTTACCTTAAGAAATCAGATTGACTAGAAATTTCTTCTCCAGGAGTATATATTCGAGGTTGTATATCTTTATTTTTTAATAAATTTAAATCGGCTCTGTTTACTGCTAAACGAATATTAATAGGTGGATATTCTTCCATTGTACGTAACAATTATTTTTATATTATATATATATATATAAAATAATAATAATTAATATTTAAAGAAGTACATATATATATATATATATATCTTTCTTAAAGTATAGTAGAGATTATGATATCGAGGTTAATTATTATGATGTATTAAGGTTAAGATTGTAAGTAGTATAAATGAAACATAACATAAAGCATCAAATATAATATCGTGAAAATTATTATTTATTTACTATAATAATATTATTTAGACATTAAAGTAATAATATATAAATCTAATTAAAAAAATCGATTAAAAAATCTAATTTTTTTAATCGATTAAAATTTATTATTTTTAATAAACAAAGAATTTCTCGTAAAAAGTAAGTAATAATTTCTTAAGTATTATATTATTTATTTATGAATATTTAAATTTAAAATTTTAATTTTAAAATCAAATTAATTATTATATGATATTAATAATTATTCTTTTAGTATTTTATAATGGAAGATTTTATTCCTACACGAGTATCAAGGATAAAAAAAGATGCTGTAAAGGAATTCGTATCGGTAAATTATGAAAAGCCGAAAAAAAAAAAAGAAATAATTAAAAGTAAAGAAAACAATGATATACAAAATTCTAAATTTAATATAACAAAAAATGAACGAAATGAAAATAATGATGAAAAAAGAAAAAAAGAATTAGAAATGAAACGTATCAAATATGAGGTTATGAAATTTGGTATGTCTGGTTTCAAAGGAATAGAAGCAGAAGAAGCAGAAATTGCTCTTGCTATAAGTTTAGGAGCAAAACCTCCAAAGAAAAAAGGTATTAATTATAAAATATTGAAACATGAAAGAAAACAAGAAACACAACAAAAAGATTTAAAATTTGTATCAGGTCTTGAAAAAAGTTTGATAAAACATAAAATTAAAAAAGTTCATAGGAAAAGTTCTAATAATTTATTAAGAATGTATGGAAAAATAAATAAGAAAACTTTGAATAAAAAAATTAAATAAATTTTCTTAGTAAGGAAAGTAAGGAAATATTTAATTATTGGATAAGTAAGGAAATATTTAATTATTGGATAAAAATTAAAAAATTTAATAAAATATTAACCGTAAACATTTAAAATATTTTTAGTTATTTTGTTTAATAGTTACAACATTAACTAATTATCTAACAGTAATGTATTTTATGTATTGTATATATGACAATATATATTATAACAAGTAATAAAATAATATTTTTATATATTTGTGAATTCATTTGGGCCAGCCTTGAGCTTCAATGAGAGGATATATTTATCTATTCATCTTTATCTATTTATATTTAAAATAGATATTCATATTATGTTTACTATGCCATAAAATGGAATGATTTGGCATTTAAAAAATCATGCTTTTGCATTTGATTGAAGTTAATCGAAAGCTGCAGCTGTTGGTGCAACTTCGAGTAACATTTGAAGGAAAGCATTCACTCCTTCTGTAAATAAAAAAATAATCTTTTAACAAATAATTTTTTTTTTTCGGTATTATTTGTTAATATTTTTAAATGAATTTAATATTTACCCATAAATTTGGGCACATATCCGTATTTAACAAACGGGAGGTAGACAAGCATGCCCGCTAATATAAATCCAGCCGCATACAAGTATTCAATTTGAGGTTTATCAATGATTGGCGCTATAATCAGGTACGCAGAAATTCCAAGTACGAGGACAGGTATTATCAGCGGACATTTATATGGTCGTGGATGATTCGGTCTGGTCCTTCGCATCACCAATAGAGCTAACATTGCTCCACCATAAAAGATCCAAGCAGTGAATGAAAAAAAATCGATCAAGGAATCAATGTTTCCAGATATTACCATCGCTCCTAATTAATAAAAATATTTCATTATATATGTGTAGTACAATATATAAATATATATATATCAAGAATAAGATGGATGTACCTGCAACGAGGGAATGAAAAATAAGTCCAGGTGCAGGAGTAAAACGTCGCACATGCACATAACTAAGACAGTCGAGTAAATGGCCTTCTCGAGATGCCGCGAAACAAAGTCTACCTGCTGCGAAAAGAGTACCATTTGCGGAACCAAAGGTACTAATCGCAACCGAGAGCGGCATAAGCCATGCCATAACGCCAAGAATTCGATTTCCGAAAGTCTACAACATTAATTCGTATTTTGTTACATATTTCAATTTTTGTTGAGATATAAGTTGCAGAATAGAAATATTTGTTTTATATGTTTTTAAAAAAAGAAAAAAGAATATTAAAAATTTATCTTACCACTGCAACAGCCTCGCTTTCAATCATCTCTGAAGGTGACATTACGGCTAAATAAGAAACATTTATCAATGCGTAACATAGCGTGACGAGAGGTATACCAATCATAATAGAACGTGGCAAATTTTTCGAAGGATCTTTGATTTCTTCAGTGACATAATTGAGATTATTCCATCCATCGTACGCCCATAAACCAGTATAAAAAGCAGTGGCTAATCTGCCTATATTAACGGTACTACCGTCGAATGTATCGAAAGCGCCTTTGAGATGCTGCGTATTACCCTGTATCAACTTATAAGAGCCACCGGCAATTACGACAAGTATGGCGATCAATTTGGCTGCAGTAAACGCGTTTTGTACACCTGTGGCCAGATTAACGCTGTAACAGTTTACTAATAATATAAGTATGATCGCCAAAAGCGCAACGATTTTGACGACTTCCTCGGGTGGATCACAATCGGCCGCAAAGGCCTCAACCGCATACTGTGCGAACGACAAACAGATTATTGCCATTTGAGATGGTTTCAAGACCAAAGTGGAAACCCACGAGAAGAGGAAAGCAGGTGGTGCACCGAATGCGTCCATAAAGTAAGCGTACTCGGCGCCGCTGCTCGTATTCATCGTACCCAGCTCGGCGTATGCTAACGCACCGCACAGACTCAACATGCCGCAGGCCGTCCATACGAGGAAGCTGATTCCGATACTGCCGGTTCGAACCAAAAGCCCTGACGGCGAAACGAATATCCCAGAACCTATCGTTTTTTAATGAACGACGAAGAAGAATAATAAGAAGAAGAATTTGAGAAACTAAACTATTCTCAGTTAACCGTATTTAAGATTTTACTGAAATCGTATAGATTGCTACCTATCATGGTACCAACGATTAGAGCCACCCCACTGACGAGTCCCACCCGTCTCTTGAGGTGAACAGAGTTGTTCTCCTCTGGGTCCGTCCCCTCCAGCCCTCCACCCCCTCCACCCCCGTCTTCATCATCGCCCAGATCCCCAGATTTAATTTCTTTCTGTTTCCGTTCGTGTAGCTGTTGTTGTTCCGGTTGACGTTGGAACGGCGATGTAATTGGGTTCCAGCCGTTGCTGTTGCCGTTGCTTCTGATTGATCGAGAGACCAATGTTGTTTCTGGAATTCCATTCCATCCACTGCCTTGTAATTGCTGTTGCGACTGATTACCGTTACTTGTCTGTGGATCATGTCCCACGGTAACTGAAATAATTTAGTTTGCTTAATTATATTTTTTCTTATTCTTATGTATTAATTTTTGAAATATATAAATATATGATATTAGTAAATTATGTTATAATTATATTATATCGTCTATCGAATTAAAGGTTTATAAAAATTGAATGGTTACCTTCGTACATAATTCATCGGACTTTATTATCGACAATTTCAATCAAATTCTCTATTAATTGTAAATAATACAAACTTTTGCGAAAAAATATAATAAATATTTTGTTTTGCCATTAACTAATATTTATTAATAAGAAGAATATTTAAATGTACATGTTTTTTTTTTTAATTTGTAACTCTTTATACTTTTTAACGAAGCAGAAAAAAATAATATTTTTTAAAAGAATTCACTTAAACAAATAAATGAAGTGTTTAAATTATTATAAAACGATTAATTATTCAAAATAATAGTACATTGAGAATCACGATACTATCGAACTGTTTTCTTTTAATAATGAAACACATTAGCATACTACGAAGTACTGTGGCGATCTAAAAAGCGTCAAGTCGTTGATTTTATATTTATGTCATCACACAACAAATATTATTGTATTATAACCAAAGTACTGTTGCCATAATAGTTTGCATGGCTAGATGCCAAAGATTTCTCGTGATCAAGTGAGGTCAGTCTGTTTTCTTCACACGTTTAGTGTACATACATAAACCATAAAATACAAATGTATTTCTCAGAATTTTTACGCGCTTATTTTCTGTTTGATATTGATATCCTTATCTTTTTTATAAAGTATTTTTAGTTCATTATCTTTTTTAATAAATTATTTAATATCAATTTCTTATCCTATATCTATCTAGATATAGGATATAGATTGATAATTAACAATTTCGATATTGAATATTAAATGATTATAAATTTATATTTATTTTATTATTAATTTATATTATTTTTTAATGATCCCTTAAGTGCGTGACAGTTATAGATATAAGCAGATATTAGATATGTTGTATTCTTTCAACCGAACCTCTACCACATAAAGCGTTCGTGGTTTCATCTTCAAGGTGACCTTTCGATAAATTATCGATTTTCTTGTTAACAACGCATCTACATTAACAATTTAATGCTCTGTATTAGATTTTAATATTGTCTATCTTAAAATAGAATTCGGGTTTCTCCTCTGAAGTGAATCATTTAAAATATGTAAATATATAGGCGTATTCTTTTTTATATTAAAAATATTTAAAATATTATTATTTAATTTATTGATAAAATGATGATAATGATAAATTGCATTTCATTTTTTTTTTTAATTTACTCAAGATCATCAAAAATATTAAAAATTTGACTAATTAAACTTTATGGAATTTATGAATCGATTCAATTTTTATTTCGTTTGCAATTTCTTTATCCATAAGCATTTTAAATATCTATACGATGAAAGTGGTAAAAAATGCTGACTATATTATGTTGCTATGTGGCAATATACTAATATAAATATATTTATACAACTGTTTTAATATAATATTGAATATAAAATACTGTCAGTATACAAGGTCGTTCATGAGAAATGTAATTAAAATTGAATTTATCGATACTTCAAATAGTAATAAAAGTCTTTCAAGATTTATAACTAAAGTATTTAGATTTTTAGTTATTAATCTATGAAAGAATGATGCAATATTGAAGACGTGCGCGCTCGACATTATTTTCTAAAGCACTGCGTAAATATATATATATATAAAATAAAATAAAATAAAATATAAAGATAGAAACATAAAATTTAAAAATACAACATTTATTTAAAACAATAATTGTTAGCTCTTTAAATGAAAATCATGCAATACATTACATGTGAGATGTAATTTGAACTTGTTTAATAGAAATTGTTTTTATTTCTACTCTATTATTTTCAAATCTTATCTTATAATTGCTTTACATGTAGAGGAAGTTAGTTTAATAATTTTAAATGAATCAAGTATAAAGATATAAAATGATATAAACTCTTTAAAATAATCATTATATTCGCCCGATGACGTATTACCTATTAGCTTATAAAATTCATCGAATTAGTAATAAGATATGTTGATATAAGCGTTTGCAAAGTATGATGTAGATATATAATGTAAATTATATTTGAATTTTTCGTAATTCTTTGTCATTTATATCAGGATCTTTATTACTTATATATTATATATGCTTTAAATATTTATTCTAAAACCGTTAATGTCTATTGTGATAAATTGTCATAATGATCCAATTGCGTTTAATTGATCGTTCGTGCGCGAAAGAAACCGATCTTTGTCTTGTATGAAAGATTATTTTGTCTACAAGTAAAGGTCAAATAGATTGTAAAATGAATATAAAAAAATAGAAGACAAAAATTTTATTATGAATGACATTTATGCAATAACATTTATAGAAAAAATAAGAAAAAAATGAGTCATAATTTGAAATAATTTCCAATTCCATTTAATTCTTAATATCAAGATCTCATATTAATAAGTTATTCAATAATTGTATCAAATTTTAAAAATCGACAATTCTTTATACATATACAATTCTTAATAATTTATTTCAAGTTGAATATTTATTCTAAAATAGTCACATCAGTTGAGAGATAATCAGAATATCAAATCTAAATCATTTTTTCAATCGTATATATATTTTTCAATTCATCAAGTTCAAAGTTATGACAATATTCTGAAGTGTGCTTGCTATATTTAAAATTAAATACTTGGTCATTCTGTTACGTAAATTATGATGAAGAACGGTCAATTTGCTCACAACGTTAAACTGTAAAATTGTTCGTGTAAAGCTGTCGATTTATAATCATATGACATTGGTCAATGGTTTCCGTTTTACACTATCGATCGTTAAACTTGCTATTGTTCATAATTCCAAGGAAGGAAGATAACTTTTAACTGTTTTATTTTATATAAAATTCCAATTCGAAAAGATAATTTTTATAAAATTTAATTTCTATAGAAGAAGAATTTGTTATATTTTATACAAATATTCTATATGAAAAATCCAAAAATAGAATTATTAAAGATTTTAAACTTAACTATTTAAGATTTTCGAAACTTAATTATCTAATGAAATGCGCTTTGTGCATATGATGTGCGTTCATTTTTTATGATTATGAACATTTTTTAAAAGATTATGAATAGAATTTCAATAACTGTACTCTAATGTTTTGAATAACAAAATTTTACGATAAAATCAACTCTGCTTCGAATACGACCTAACTAAGATAGTAACCGAACACCACGAAGAAGACAAAGAAGCATTGGTTTGCATAGAAAGTACTATAATTGGCTTAAATGGAATACGCGTGTTGTAGAGTACTTATCGCTGTCTGTTCGTTCAACAGTTCTTTAAGAAATCGTTGTTCATCTATTTGTAGACAGACAATTCGCAACACGTATTTATAAGGAAATGTTAAAAATAAATTTTACGTAAAAAGAATATCAAGATTTTTAACGATGAATATTCTTTAATGCTCTTTATGATTATATGTGAATATATGTCTCTAATAAAAAAAATAACTTTTCATATAGTCAATAGTTCTTTTCATTAACTTGAAAATTATCGTCTGGATCTATTGATTGTTTCATTAACACAATAAGATATGGTAGCTAAGCTTAACAAACTATAAATTTCTTTCTGCGACGGAAACGAAAAACCACTTGCGCAAAATATCTTAAAATATACGTATGGGCTAGATTTAACATCGAAGTGGACTTGGAAATTTGATTCCATTCTGTAGTAAAATTAAATAAAAATATGGATGTATAAATGAAATATTAACAAGTATTACTAAATTAATTTAATTTAATAATTATTTTAATTTTAAAAACGCAGATATTTTTGACATCTCTTAAAAATTTTATGCCAATATATATTCGAATATGTATATTTCTTATTTCATAGAATGACGCAATTCTTTGGATTTCGAGTTAGCATTTTTCAATTTTAAAATAATGTCTCATTATTTTCTTTGATCGTATTAATTATACTTGATATCATTGTTTTTTTCGATTACAGTTTATTGAACAGTTTATTAAATCGCTTGCGCTAATTATGAATGATTATTGAATTTTTCAAAAAATCTGTATGTTAAATACGTATGTTAAATATTAAATGAATTTTTTATTTAGTTCATTAATAATTGTTTTGATATGTATTAATAAATGTAAAATCAGAGAAATATAAATGTAAAAAAGTAATATTTTTTTCTAACAAATAATTCGTAAAAATAGTTTTTTATTTCTTTGCACATATATTTATTTTTGCAATATGAGATGAAATTTTTTGATATGTTTCCATGTATTGTATTTTAATATTTATATAAAAGAAAAATATAAAGAATTTTATAAAAACGAATCGGTACATCCTGTTTTTGTGTGTACTAAATATATAAATATATACTAATAAAAATTTTATTTGTTAATTAAATTATACTTTTTTAACGAAAATTTAAAAAAATTCTATCAACATGATATTTAGCGTAAAATAATATATATCTTTTTAATAAATACTTATTTTTTTGATCGATCTATTAAATTAAAAATAAAAAAACTTGTTACTTTTTTATTAGATTGCATCGTATTACGAATGCGTTTATAATTTAATGTCATTTTTATAATCATTTTTATTGAACTCTTAAAATTGTTGATTTATCTAAAAAATATATACAATTGTTAATAATAGATTTTGTTCAGTAGCAACAGTCAATGAAAAGATTTCTTTAAGAATGGAAGTCGTATTTATGAATGAACATTCTGATGAAAGTAAAAAAGCGCGCGAATTTTACCAATTACAAATATGTGATTGTTTTCTTCATGAGATCAAATATTATGATATAATGAAAAATAATATTAAATAATGAAAAATTTCATTTACCTCGTTTGAAGGGCGCGACATGCATGACTCTAAAAGGGACCGATAAAAAGGGCGGACTGTGAGACCGCCTCTCATGACACCACGCCGACTTTTCGAAATAACCACTGTCTCTGCCGTATACAGCTGTCTTCGGCCCGCCGTCTGCTTGTTTTTTGCGCTAAATTCGCTCGCAAATTTCTAGTTTGCGTTTCAGTGGGCGACTTTTATGTACGCCCTTACTTTTGCTTTAGATTTTAAACAATAATAATTTGTTCGGAATAATTCTCTTAATTTCAAATTAAATATTTTTAAATTTTAATTTCTTCAATGACATCAATATAATCAACACAAATTTGCGTATGTCTTTTATATATGATTATAATATTTCGACACGACCAGCACCGATCCACCTCTGATGATGAACTGGGTGTTCGACAGAGGGAGACGTACCCGCCAAAGAACGAACAGGAGCGAGGTCGGGAAGGG